AAAATGTATAAACATTCACTTACTACCTTGATGCTGTATGATATACACACAAGTTATTTATACTTACATATTTGGTATCACAGAAAGTATAGAAATTATTAATTTGAAATTTAATGGTAATTTCGTTGGATACTATATACATTGTATATTATGAGCGTACACCACAATCTAGTCGTGAATATACATATGTGTATATGCCATTTAAATTGCTTGTAATTCCTCCTATAAAAAAACTAGGAAGTATAGCTTGAAAAAAAAAATTTGACCTCCAAATCATGACGTAAGATTGTCAAATTACTATTAGGACGAGAGAAGTTCAACATTCTCATTTCTAGAATGTTAAAAGCCTCCTACTTACGATTGAAACCAAAAAATTACTAATACAACGATAATTTATCATGCATAATGTACAAAATTAAAAAGTGGATGTTAAATGGTTTCGTGGCCCAGATAGAAAAACGATTCCATTACATATCATCGCTTCGTTGAAACGACAATTCGAAAAGTCTGAAACACTATCGTGTTGTTTTTCTTTAAATGTACTTTTGCATTTGCTCATCTTAAAATGTTTTGGTAGCAGGATAGAAACAACAAACTTAATTGTAAACCAAGGTGAAAAACAATAGAGCAGACAATGGCGTTTTATAAAAATTTCACAATGTTGGAGCAAGATAAATTAACTAAAATTAGTAAAACTACAAAGTGATATTACGTCATGAAAGCATGTGCCTTGCAAGTCATTTAATATACATATAGATTCTTCTTACAATTCATTACAATTATGTACATAATAGATATTTTACATTGTATAACATTTCTGGCTACACACATAAGTAACAGGTACATGATATTAGAATTGAAGTAGCAAATAATACTTTCGAAAGTGCAATCCAAAATTGATATTTTGTGTATTAGTGTTGCTGTTTGCCAACGTAGATTTTTATAGAAAAATAGAAAGTGTACGGCTTGAAAATTTTTCTGAATAAAAATTCGACTTGTTTCTGTTTCTTGCCAAGTTACGAAATGTTTGTTCAAATATACGTGTCTATTGTAAATGTTTCCCAGTTTCAAAATTTTAGCATTTCATTTTTTGCTCCAAAACGAAAGAGGTAGGCCTGTAGACCCATTATAATATTAGTTGAATACATGAAGAAAGCGGTAGGTGTAGGTATAGGTATTATATAAACTTAGCATGCATCACTGGTAACGATCAGCTATTTGGAGGCTATTTGGTTTTACAACAAAAAAAAGGCTAACACAATTTTATTGTTGTATGCGCTTCTTTCGGCTCGGAGCGGCTCAACAACTAAATTGTATCATCTGCAAAACGTCCCTCCATAAATACAACCATAAAATCCTTTGGGTCCTAGCAAAAAAAAAGGTGGCAACTGCTCTGACTTAATGTGCTATCTATCCTTGAACTACCTTGTTTGTTTCGGTAGCTTTGCAATATACTTTCGAATTTTTCGATCAGACTGTCCTCTGTTACTCGCTAGCTAAACAACACGAACATTACTTAAGTTAAGTCACAATATACTAGAAAGCTGCGCACGCATTCGATACTTAAGTCACTTGTGTATAGGTGGTCTGTATTAAGCCCATCTTGCTTTCAAACTGCTCTGCAATTTCTTCAATTAAATTTTTGTTAATTGTAAATCAAAAGCATTATTTGATTTGCAAGCAAATTGTTAAATCTATACTTTATTTATTAGATGTATAAAATGATTTATAAATAGATAATTTCTGTAAAGGTAACAATACTGCAATTTTATTACAACTAGTGTCTTCAGATGATCGATTTTTGATTGTTTATTGTTAAATAGTTCCAGGCTAATTTTTCCAACATGTTTTTCTTACTGATAAGTCATTTTCTCCAATTTTTGTAAGAAGTGATTGACTTTTTTATAAGTAAATACGTATTTAGGTTGTTATTCGTAGAATTTGGAAATTACCGATGTCGATAGTTCCCCAAGGATTTCTTTTAATCAGAACGAAATGTCGACATGTTCCAAACAAATAACCGACCTGGTTGAGACTCAAAAAAAAAAAAAAGATTCTGCTGTAAAGTAGTCCACAAACAGAGCAGCGTGATTATCAGCAGTATAAATATCCATGTGTTAATTAGATGGGATACTTTTAGGACGTGCTCGTACGTTTGTACTAATTTATAACTGTAACATTAATTGTGTTTCATAAACAGTGTTTCGTGTAAATAAAGAAAGAAATTCATTATAATTTATTCAGTTATCTCAAACACTTATATACAAGTGAACTAAATATTAGTTACAGACTAGTTCCTGCGTTGGGTGGTAGTTTTTTCTCTTTCTAAGTAGATGGTAGAGCGGCAGGAAGCGCTCCAATCCAACGTATCGTTAATAATAACAAAATTAAAAAAAAAATAAAAATCTACCAATTTACATGATTGTTTTCTTCTCTTAACAACGCAGCTTCTCTGCCATTTCACAAGTAGTGTACGTATTTAAATAAAATAAATAAGTTTGTTTTTATAAATAAATAAATGTTAGTTATGTAGCAATCACTGATTATGTTCTTGAATGGTTAGTTAATAAATTAAGGGGAGTGGAACGAATATAAAGAAAATTTCTCTAGGCTCATAAGAGTCCTAAATCTTTGGATAAGAAGGTTTCAAAAACTGGCGATTACGAATTAGCAACTTTAACAAATTCCGAATTGTCGTATCCATGATGGGCACCAACAAATGCCGATGCGACGCCCTTCCTATCGATGGCGCGTACTCGAACAAATAAGAAAGCTGCCACTAAACTAGCCACTATCAGGACTAACAACAGCATAACCAGACCGGCTACGAAGCTAGGAACTGACATACAAATTGTTTCTGGATCCGCCGAAGATGCCGATTGGATCACAACGGTTTCGTTACTTGAAGCGGCATTCAAAGCAAAGTTTACGTCTCCTGGTGCGACTACTTGAATCGTCCTGCTTGTATTCACGTCAGTCATTTCTTGTCCTGCTTCTCTCTTGTATACGTGACTGACGACAATAGTCATTACTTCAGGACTTCTCTTCCTTCTGGCCCCTTGTAAACCTTCTGGTAGATTTCCAACAGATCTGGGCCGACCTCCGAGGGTTGCTAAGTTTCCTTCTAATTCGTCAGCAATTCCATTTTTCCTCTTCATCGTGCTGTATGGTCCATGGTGTCCTGGAGGAGGTGGAGGGGGCAAATGAATATCGTTGCTGGATTGAGATGGCGTTTGAGGTGCTGGGGAAGAAGGACTCGAGGGGTCCGAAGTAGAGGATGATGCAGTTTGAGCTTGCGGTGCTGGAACGATGTTCTCCTTGGTTTCAGAATATGCTCCAGCAGGTCCAGAAGGATGACGAGGGTCAGGATATGCTGGTGGAACGCCGTATTCTGGAAGTTGTGGCGGTCCATAGTCTCCGTGACCCCCGAAATCGCCTGCTCCTAAAGCGTTTCCTAGTGCAGGAGCTCCATAGTCTCCTAATAATCCGAGACCGTGGCCTGCACATTTTGGTTCAGGACAATTGTAACGACACACTTGGATAACACACTGGAAGTGAACATTCATGGAATCGGGGAATTTGAAGGCTTGGAAATATGCGAACGACACTACAGAAGCTGATGGTCCGAAGTTTTTAATTTTCTGGAATTTGCTCATGATCTTTGGTCTTACGACACAACCGTATTGGTCAACCAGTTGGATGGGTGCTCGTTTACCATCATGAGCAACACAATTGCGAACCAACATGTCGAATTTATTTTCGTCATCTTTGATAGCTAAAACCATGGTCATGGTTTGACCGATTTTCACAATTCCCGATACTTCGGATGCCCACGGCCCTTTCCCTACTTGTATTTGCATCCAGCATTGAAGATTATCTCCTAAGAAATTAGCTGTAACAGCGTGCAGCATGTCTACTTGGAAGGGTCGGAAAGTAACTGCTTTCTCATAATAGTCGTACCAGGTGCACCTCAATTTTCGGGCTTGATCCCAAACTTCTTGAACATAAGGGTCGTACTGTATTATAATCGTATTTTCCACATAACTTCCACTAGGAGTCGGCCCACCATAACTTGCGGCGTTGTGATTTGCTGAAGATGACATGCCACAACTATTCAGGAATATTTCGAAGGTAGCACTGAGATGTCCGGTTCCAGGTTTCAGATGAACACAATGGGAATCACTGTAGAATCCTTTAGAAAATATCATTCCATAGAATGGTCTATCGAATTCGATGTTGACTCTCATGTGAGTCTTTTCGCATTGAACTTGGAGATGTTTAATTTGAGGCATATCTCGGTTAGCCAAGGGCCAAGGGTCGTCAGGACCACCATCGCCACCCCCGACGTTTTGAAGAAGATTTGGAGGTGCGTAACCAGGCCCGGAAAGCGGTGGTCCATACACTCCACGATGTTCCAACGGTAGGGACGCTGAATCGGTAAGGGGTGTTTCGCAGACAATTCCCTGAAGAAGAAATTATGTAACTTTTTACATAGTATGTAGTATAATAGTTAACATTTCGAAATTAACTCGTAATTCAATTCCGACTGTCATGTGGTGTTTTGTAACAAGTGTAAATAATAAACGAAGGTACCCGCACATTGTGTTTATTCACTCTATGTAACCATCCGAAATAATGTCACTTTCTCTAACTTAGATACTGAACGAATGTATTATGTCGGTAAATTTGTAAATATCGAAAAATGAAAAAAAAAAAGTTGTAGTTAAAAGCGCGAACACTTTTGACTTACATTGATAACAATAACTGCGAAAAAGACCAAAGAGGCGATTGGTCGTTGAATAGAAGTCTTGATCATGATGAAGCTTGGTGGTGAGTGGTTGTTATTATCAGTAAGTTCTGAAATGAAAGCAATGAGAATATGGCAAGTAAAGAGACAGGTGTAAAAGGCGCGGCAAGCTACTCTTGCTGCGGACACCTGACGGCAATTCTGTGCCTGACCTACTGACACACTAGTAAGAAGCTTGCTTGCTAACATATTCACATGGAAAGATGAATCTATGCATGAAACTTTTTACGCGATGGTACGCAGTGTCAAAGGCATCCGGAATCCGGACAAATTTCCCTTAACTAGAACGCATTGCTTTGCAAACAAATATTCGTGTGTGATACATTTACTAAATAACATCTGTATCGTTCACTTCGATTATTCACTTTAGTTTTAGCGCAAAGTGCAAAAAATCTAAACGTAACGAAGTAACCGAAGCACTTTCTTTTTCTGGGAATTACCGTGCAATTGACATATGGAATTTTATGAAGAAAGCACGAGCTGGGTAGGATATAAAACAAAAATGAGATTAGAAAGTAGAATAATTAATCCGAATTACTACGAATCAAATTACCTACATTTTTGAAACTAACAGAACTTTCTCTGGTTCGTCTATCTTAAGTCTTATCTATTTATGATATTTGCGGCATGTTTATTTCTTTAATATTCCATATAGATATGTGCCGGACACGGTTCAGTAGTTGCATTTTACGTNCAAAGGGTTAGTGTTCGAAATAAGAAGACTTTACAATTGTTCTATTATTGTCAAAACTCCAATTATTTTACATTGAAAGGCAACGTCCTGGTGTAAATTAAAGGTGTCTTTTACAATAATTAAGTAGAACACCCAGTTAAACGTGTCTGGGATAAAAACAACGTATTGTACGCCGACCATAAGGGATCCTTCGGACCAGTCCTCAGCGTCGTGACGTAACAGTACACATAATTTATTCATAAAACATTAAATAATATAATACATACAAATGCGTTTTTCTCCAATAGATCCCCAAACCAGTGACCAAACCGAGTAAGAAACCACATCTAGTCCTTATCATCCGCGTAGAAATTGCTACCCGAGCCCAAAGCAATTTACACCCGCGAGGAATCGCCGCACTTTCTTCCCGTGGTGCGTTCTGTATTAGATGGACGTTGTCGTTGTGATTTTATGCGCCATTCGTCATTGTGTTTTTCAGTACAATTGTACATTCAAAGATTTAAGTACTTAATATCAAGACGTTTAACTATCTATCTATGTACGTATGTACAGATGATTTTGTATTGCAACATACCGAATGGATAAAGAAACTGGATTACAAAGAAAAGCCTTTTACTTTTCAAGTTCATAAAAATAAACAAATATTGTTTTCAGTTTCTTTTTTCATTAATGATTCTATTTAAAAACCTTGATACCTTTCTACGACAGTTTAATATATGTATATGTAATGTATCTACATATGCATGTCATGCTTGTGTGTATCCAGTGTATGTATCTTATAAATATATTGACACATATATGTGGATGTATTACATACAAACATTTTACATGCATGCATATGGATATCGCGATTGAATAATGAAAGTAAATTTTTATTTATTTTAAAGATACTATATAATAAATCAAAGCAATGCAATAGCATAGAAATTGTTTCGAGTCAGGTAACCTTGTAGAAGTGTTAGCAATTGCTTTTTAATATCACACTAGGTACTTTCTTTAATGTACCTAGCACAATTTCTAAGCAAATATTATAAAACAAAATAACAACGTTCGTGATAATGCATAAGCATACTGAATGTTGAAATATGGATAACGTTGACAAATTTATTAATTAATACAGTTACTTTCACGAAAAAAAATATATTAACTAGTCAAAAAGAGAAATATGCATGTTAAAATAATTATTTTGCGTACCTAATAATAAACAACAAGAAACGGCACCAGCAGATAACAAATACAACATTTTTTAATCAGTATATAGGCCAGTTTTACAGTAAAAAATAAAGGAAAAGAAAATTAAATTACGTGAAACAATGAACGTGTAAGAATTTTGGAAAAACGACTTTCAATATCGGAAAAATGAGAATAAGGTATTAGAAATAGTAGGAGACCGAAACGAGCTGGAGAAGTCATTTAAAAAATTTGGAGCAATAATTTTCAAAATTAATGAAAATGTAATCTACTTTTTTGATTGATAAGATCTTAATTTAAACTATAATTGAAACAAAATTAGCAAGTACGCCGTATAGAAGTTATTAGCGGCATTCCACTCCAGCATCGAAGATGGAAGGACTTCTCAAAAAGCTAGCCACTCGTACTAGCGAAGTAATTGGTTTGGTTCAATTAAACTTTGTTTTTATGTATGTTAACTAAAAAAAAGACGAAAATCTTTGATTGGGCGATAGTTTTGGTCAACTGGCGGATATGGTCTTTGTCATAAAAGGTAGATGATGTCAATTTCGAAGGATCATGACAAGATGGTTCAAATTCTTTTGTGAGCAGCTGTACACAGATTCGTTGTCTGCTTTAAATAAACAGACACACATAATTACACATATACTATACATACAGTTGGCAGTGGATAGTTATTTATATAGATACATATAATGTACACATGTGTATATAAGTGATGGCCGAGGCAGACGTTATTCAGAATTCGTAATGATTTTAAAAGAACATCTCGCTCATTCGTGTGGGCATTAATCAAGTCAGGCAGTATTTTTTATTATTATTATCCTTGGAATGTGCATAGAGAACGATGTTTTAAATTTGCAATGGGACAGTGACGTAGTCGCGGGCGGGCAATAGGGAGGGGGGGGAGAGCGCGGATGTACAATTTCAAGGATGCCAAGAGAAGCTGAACTACGACTTATTCGAGAAATAGAGAACAATAACAACATTGCCATGTGACCACCGACCTACATCCGATTATGTAAGCACCAGTGTCTACGTTCACTTTTCTCTAAAGATTTGAAAGTTTAACAGTCTTTTTACCGCACTTACCGCAAAAACTTATCGTTTCAGCTCTTATCCACTCAGCCCTGCTAAAACAACACCAAAACCAGTACCAATATATTTCGTTTCAAAACAAACAAACAAGGACAACCCAACCCAACCCAACCCAATCCCTCCCAAATCCAAAATACTCCCAAACCCTTCACAAACTGCCCAACTTTGTCAAAAGTATGTTACATAACACAGGTACGTCTACTTGCTAACATACATATGCCTGTATCCCGAGTCGAAAAATTGGGACTCATTTTATCCTCAAATGAACTATTTAGACTCATTTTTTCCTCATTTAGACGTTTTTAATCTCAGATACCTCAATAAGTTTTCATAAGACTCATCACATTGGATTCTAAAAAGTCTCATTTTATTCTCAATGTCTGCAATCCTATGGCAATAGTCCTCAATTTAACCTCAACAAGAAAAGAATGAGACTTTTTGAAGACAAAATGAGGTTTCCTAAATAATCTTTACTCCTCAAAAGTCTCATTTTGTCCTGATACGGGAAAACCGCGGATAAAATGAGACTTTTGAGTCTTGTAGTTTGAAATATCCCTAAAAATTCTATTGAGATCAAATGAGGACAAAATGAGTCCCAATTTTTTGACTCGGGA